GTCCTCTGAGGTACTTTGAGGATGTGACAGCAGCTGTGTCAGAGACCAGAGATAAACTACAGGACATTCTGAGAGACAAATGGACAAACATCTCACTGACTGAAGTGGATGTTTTACTGTCACCACCACAACCAGAGCCAAAGACCAGAGCTGGATTCTTAAAATATTCACGGGAACTCACACTGGATCCAAACACAGCACATTTAAATGTGGTATTATTTGAAGGGAATAGAAAAGCAAAAGCAATTAAAAAACAACAGCCTTATTTTGATCATCCAGATAGATTCACTAAATGGTATCAAGTCCTGAGTAGAGAGAGTTTGACTGGACGTTGTTACTGGGAGGTGGAGTGGAGAGGGAGTGAAACTGATATAGCAGTCTCATACAAGGATATTAACAGATTAAGGACAACATTTGGATATAATGATATATCTTGGGCAGTGCGCTGTGACAGAAACGGTTATGAATTTTGGCACAACAAAGTCCAAACTGTCCTCTCAGGTCCTCGGTCCTCCAGAGTAGGAGTGTACCTGGATCACAGAGCAGGTATTCTGTCTTTCTACAGCGTCTCTAAAAACATGACTCTCCTCCACAGAGTCCAGACCACATTCACTCAGCCGCTCTATGCTGGATTTTTGTTTTCTGAAGGAGACACTGCAGAATTCATTAAACTGTAAAAGATAGAAGATGCAGTTAGTTTAAATGTGTCTTTCAGTTTCCAGTTTCATTGTTATGGTGTTTAAGCTTCACATAGATCACCTGTCAGTCACTCTTTATAAGTTCTACTTTCAGATTTTATTAATTGTCTTCTAGTTAATTGTTGTTTTTGTTTGATTTGGCGCTACTTACTGTGTTTGTTTTGCCAAAGAGGCTCTCACTGCTCATGATTTTTATTCAGCAAAGGTAACATTGTATAGTTTGGTTTGGAAATATTTTCCGGATTTTACTGATTTCGCGTTTGAACAAAATGAAGTTTTAAATCAGGGCTGAAGCAGTTTTTTTTGTCATATATGCTTAAGTGTGTCATTATCATTCTTGTTTCCAATATTGTCAGGGAGTATTCTAGTAATATTTTGTATTATGGTTTATATTCAGGTTCATTTATAGTCTTAGTTATTCTATTGTGAGTTTCTCTTATTCCCTGTTTAGCTTTTGATTATTAGACTCCCGCTTGTGTCTTTGCCCTCTGTGTCTCTCTCTTTGTGCTGTATTTATATATATTGAGTTCTTGTGTCTTGTTTCCCTCCTCGTGTTTCATTCTTTGTTCTCCAATGCTTGCCATGTGTATCCATGTTTCCCCAGTCTGTCATGTCTCTCTTGTCTCCTCTTTCACTCCCTCGTACTCTCTCGGCTGCCTTTCCTCTACTCCTGTGTTATGTCCCTCTGTTTCCTGTTTGTCGTGTTTCCATGTTTGGTGTGTCTGGTTTTGCTTCCCGAGATGAAATGTAAAAAAACTCATGTGTATCAACAATGGACACGTGTGGAACACAGTTTGTAAAAGTTTGTGTCTGAAGACCTTTGCATTTGTTTTCATAGTTTTTAACAATATTTTTGTTAAAACGTTTAAATCAACCATTAATAGGGACTTAAAAAAAGCATATACCACTTCCCTGTTTGCAATATTCAAGACGATTTAAGAAATGTAGTAAATGTAAATGCAAATGTAGTAAAGACAAAGCTGGAATCCATATTAAAAAATCAAGTTTGACATTGTTTTTCTAATCCAGTGCATAACATTTGGTCTGAGTGGTTTTTTTTTTGGCTGTAGCAAACAAATTATTTTGATGTGATTTTGCAAGCACAGAAGTTGTCAGCTGATAATAAAAAATAAAAAAAATCCTCAAAATAAAAACTGTTGGAGTTTAGTTTAATTATTTTCTTACATCAGATCAAAATCTAATCATGTATTTAACAATTGCAGTCTGCCTGTTCAGTTTTTCTACTGAGTATAAACACACAGGAAGAGATAGTTTGAGAACATAAGAGTACATGTATGACCAGTGAGGGATATCATGTACTGAAATCGAAAGCATAAAGCTCTG